ACTATGTGTTGAACCCCCACAGTTGGCAGAGAATGAAGAAGAAGTAGAAAAGATATCCCTAAAAGCAGATTCCGGACTTCAGTGAGTTCCATAAAATAGTCATACTCATGGCTAAACACAGGCAAAGCTGGGAAAAGATGAGGAAGAGGAGGAAAATGAATAGAGACTAGATAGGATGAGGACATTTCAATAGGGCAAACATATGGGAAATAAGTTAACTCAAAGCCCAGAGTTCACAGTCAACCAACAGTTGAAATAGCTTCAGAGGAAAAAAAAAAAGTAACGAAATACTAAAGTTAACTAAACACACATAAAAAACTGAGCCCCCACTCTTGCTTTTAAGGCTCTCAACGAGTCAAAGAGTGAAATATTCAAGCTTTATGGGGATAATGGAGCTGGCCTCAAATACAGCAGAAGTGGAAAATGAAACAATCTTTCTAGATGGTAAACTGGCAAACATTTTTGAACTTGGTAAATATTTAAATTTGGCAAAGACTTTAAAAACAGATATCTTTATTGGCCCAAGAATTCCTTTTCTAAGCACCAACAATAACAAAATAAATTTTTAAATATCAGAGAAAAATTAAAAGCAGGATTCTTTCTTACAATAGGATAATGGTTATAAAACTTATGGTATTTGCTTTAGATGGAATACAATAAAAATTCTGTTTATCAAAAGCAGTTAGTGACATGGGGAAATATCCGCAAAGCAAAGTTAACTGAGAAAAGAGGCTATGAGGGAGAAGAAACGGACACATAACCAGAAAGACACACCCAAATGTTCAGTCATTTTCTGTGACCCATTGGATCTGAAGTGATTTATAACTAACTTCGCCATATTTTTTTCCCTTTCTCTGAGAGGAGAATGTCTTATGTCTGCAATTTGTACAAGGTGACAAGAAGCACGTTTTAAAGTTAATGAGAAAACAGGACACAAGGCTTTCTGATATCCCCCTTCGGGTCCCTTGCACTCTGTGCAAACACCCTGGCCCTGGGGATAGGATCCTGGCTGACCGGGGACAGCGAGGCCTGCCAGCTCCTAGGTGCCCTGCCTGCCCTCAAGTCCCACCTGCCCCATGACACTCTGTGTGTGCGGGGTGCCAGCAGGCCCTGGCCTATCTGCCCGTGTCCGTTGTGTCCTGCTGAAGGAACAGGAGACCGCGCTGTGACTCATGGAGCCGACCCTGCTGGTCTGGCATCAGGACAGGTACTGGAGTCAGATCTGCTACAAAGCAAGGGGGTGGAAACCCTCCAGAGAACTAAGAGCAGAGCTGGAGAGGCAGGTGAGGCGCTGCATTCTCAGGGTCACAGCAGCCAGGGGCCCTGGTGGCGCCTGCCTCTGGGTGACCACTAAGCAGAGGCTCCAGGGACATCCACTGGCACCTGCAAGAGACAGGGTGGCCATTTGGGTCCCAGCCTGAAGGGGAGAAAGTGAGCCCAGTGGGTAAGGGCCTTTGCCCAGGGTCACGGGATGAATAAGCATCCAAACCAGATGGCTCTGCAGCCACACAGAGTAAGAGAAAGTCGTTTGGGACGGGATAGCAGCTCTGCACCAGTGAACATCCCCAACTCTCAAGAAAAGGTCCCGCAGGGCAGGCTGCGATCCCACACCACCATGGCACAGACACTGTCCCCGCAGGGGACAGCCTGTCACTGCGCTGTCCCCCCCCACAGCCTCCAGCCCTGATCTCCCTCCTCTCTGTGATCCACCTGCTCCCCAGAGGCTCTTTCCGCCTGGTCTCCACCCCCCCGCCTCAGAGCAAAACCTGCCCCAGAGCTGTGACTGCAGAAGGGAGACCTCCCTGGGCAGCAGGTGGCCCTGGGCTTTCCTCTCCTTTATTCTTATGCAAGCTGTTCTGAGATATGTGCCTGTCTTTCTTTCTTTCCTTTTTAAATAAAGGTCAGTTTAGCGAAACAAAAATTTAACAAAAGAATCACGTTAAAGCACAGGAGATCATGAATGTTCCCCTGTCAGAATATTCTCTGAGAGCCTGGGAGTCCTCCAAGGCATTTCACAGGGAAAAGGTCCACAGATTCGGCCCTGCCAACTGTGTGTGCCAGGGCACTGAGTCAGCCCCACCCACCATGAGCACACGCACGTGTGCACGCACATGTGCGCACACACACACAGATCCAGGCAGAGGCATCTCCTCTGGGATGAGGGAGGGAGCGAGCCTGGCCTGCACACCCTGGGAACACAGGCAAATAATAACCTCAGCACTTTTGGGCCAGGACAGAAGAGCGCCAGGGGGCTCTGGGACAAGACAGCGACACAGTAGGGCAGCAGCGCTTGGCACCTGGCATTTCTTCTACCCGCCCCAACTGTTCTCAAAGTAGCATGCCGGATGGCAAGGGTTTCCCTGTGCACCCACTATGTGCACGTCTGGTGTACAGAAAACAAGCAGTATGTTTTCAGATTAATTAATCAGATTAGTTTCCCCAATTTTGTTCCAATTATCATCGCACTCTCCAGCCTCTGTTGATTCAAAACAACAACAACAAGTAACTTCTTTTGGCAAGACACCGAAACAGAGGCCATGGGCCCTCCAATCTTGGCAAAGTGTCCCCAGTAACTTTCCACATCCTGTCCAGTGCCTAAGTGGGGGCCCACGCAAGCTGCTGTCTGCTGCTTGCTCTCTCTGCGTCCGTCCACGAAGGGCTCCACAACAAGATGACAAGAGAAGTCTCCCCCACATTCCAGTTTCGAGATTCAACTCTAGAGTCAGGGCCTGAGACCTTCAGGAGCTCAAGGGTAGAGCAGTACTTCCGTTGTAACTGTGTTATTTCCTCTGATGCATTTAAAAGCATTATTCTGAGAAGCGATCCTAGACTTCATCAGGCTCCCCAAAACGGTAAGTGGAATTAAATACAAGATCAGAAAAGTCTTTGGGGGTTGGATCCAAACTCCTAACTGACATTCATCAAGTTATAAGAAAACCACTCTACTTTGTGAGGTCTGGGAGCCAACCGCACACTTCTTGCAGAAGGTGCCTGGGTGGAACTGAGTGCCTCTCTGGGCTGTCAGAACCAAGAAACCCGGGAGCATCAGAACCAGTCCGGGAACTGCTGCACCTGGGGACCTGGGCTCGCAGGCTGAGAAATTCTTAATCAGAACTCAATCTGATCTTAAAATCCAAGCATACCCAGGGATAAATGCAAGCACCCCCCAAGATTTCTTTACTTCTTGTAATTCAAACCTTTTGCTCCCAATTTCAAACGACCAAGGGAGGACAATGGGGGAATCACAAGTGCAGGATAAGAACAATTAGCTTTACAGTGCCCCACAGGGTCTTCTAAATATAAATGCAAGAAAAAATACTAATAATGCCACAAAGATGGGGAACCAACTCGACAGATTCAGAGGATGTCGTTCCTCAAGGATCGGTTGATTTACTGGAACAACCAGAGCAAAGGAGTGCATTTGGGACAGAAACTGCCTGTTTGGGGGCTGCTCCCTGGGCCAGCAGGCAGCTGTGATTTTCCCTATGCTAAGGGAGCTGTGTGCTCACATAATTAAAACCATAGTCAATGTGTACATGAAATAAGGCATTGCCTCAAAAAATAAATAAATAAAACTGTAGTCAACGGACTCAAGGCTCCTTCCTCCCCTCTGGACAAACTTGGCACCAAAGTCATCTCATTGCTTGGCCCAGGAAGCCTCCCAGAGACAAATCTTCAAGGAAGTCACCTATAACGACAGGCGATCATAGCTGAGGGCATTTCAAGAATTCCCTTGAAGTCATTTCAAGCATTCACTTGAGAGATATACAGTATACATGTTAAAAAAAATGTGAAATCAAGCTTAGTCTCATACTCATGTGTAAAGTTCTTCCCAAAAATTTATTCAGAGAACCACAACACATTCAAACTTCAAAAAACAATATCAGAGTGGGAAAAATGTATAATTTAAATTTAGCAGTATAACACATGCGTGTTTTACAAAATGTACCCCACCTTCTACAGGACGGTCTGTTACTTCAATGCCCTTTAATGCATGGATTTTGGCAGGGGTGGGAGAGCACATATGAGCTTCCACTCAAGATTTCCAAAGAATATTTAATTATTATAAAAATATAGATAAAAGTAAGAGCAAAAATAAGAACAGAAGGTAGAACATTTGGGGTAAAAGGGACAAGTAATTTCTATCCATTTGGCAGAAAGCCGAGGACATCAAACCCCCAATTTAAAAATTCCCATCAGGCAGCCCCAATCCTTGAAATCAGAGAGAGACAAACTCTATAAATCTTCCGTGCGTGTGTATTTAAATACACTGCTGAACACATCTTGAGATCTAAACACTGAATAGGATGTTAGCTTACCTGGTGGTCATTAACAAATCTCTAATACAAACATTTTAAATCACAAAAATACCGAACCAAGGAGGATTTTTGAAAATCCTCCTGTCTGGCCCAATTCTGAGAAAACTCCCATTTCCAAAGTCCTTTTGAACTAACTACAATGCTTGACAGAAACAACCAACTGCTTTTCACCTTTATATAGCAAAACTAAAGACCAGCAACTCATAAAACATTCTTTTTCCCCCTCCCATTCTGTACCAATGCTGCTAATTTTTCTCATTTCTACAATGGTACCAAGGCCTGGGGGCCTGGAAAATAGTTTAGCAGACTCACTGCCTCAGAGACATGCCAAAGACTCTGACTAGCCATTAAACTGGCTTCCTTTCCAGGAATCAGACTGCATTCAGCTTTCTACCTAGGCAGGTTTACTTCCGTGTCAGGCTCTGCATACTTTCCACTAGAAACATTTTAAAACACCCAAGCAAATAACCCAAGCCCAGAGCACTGACACGCCATTGCACTCCAATCTTGCCAAACCCACATCACTGGGAAGAAATCTTCACAGCACAGAGGAGTAGGTATTTTATTAAGGGCAAACACATAACCCAGCGAACCGAATCACCACCACCTGAGTCACGAGGACCCTCGGTTCTCAGCACGGAGGTCCCACAAACCAAACCAACGTTTATACGGTCCCATTACCGACGGCCACTTGCCGAGTGTCTCTTCCTTTTCGCCGGGACCGACTGGCATGCCTGGAGCCAAGGAGTCCCGAAGAGGATCCAGAAGTCCAACACAGACAAGCCCATCGTTTTCTTTACCCCTGCCCTCCAACCTCCGTGATTCTGTTGCTTTGAATCAGACCCACATCCAGACACCGTCAGGGACAGGTAAAGAATCAGAAAATTCAAGAAGCGCTCCAAAAACCCTTTGCAAAAGTAATCCACGGCACTCAACAGTGAATTTAGAAACCCCAATTTTTTTCTGAGTTTGAAGTTTTTAAGCCTTGCGGATGGTTGGAGTAGGAAAAAGGAAATTTACTAGGCAGTGCAAAGGAAATCTTGTTGTCCTCTATTGTGGTAGGGGGGGTGTTGCCCAACCCTAACTTATCTGCTTGATAAAGGAAACCAAAGAAAGTGTAAGAAGAACAAGATTTTGTCAAATGAAAAAGAACCCTTTCCTTACCTTAATAGTGCTGGCCATAATGCAATCAAGTTTATTGATCCTTAATAAATGTTAATAATAATTATTGCTTCTCTCTGACCAGAAAGTAGTTTTGATGAGGTTGTATAGAGCGGATGAGATTGTGCTAAGTCTGGGAAATGAAGTCAGCCAATAGCAGGAAGAGGTTTCTATTGGTCCTGGCTGCCCAGCCTGAAGAAACAGGATATTTGGGAGTGGAGAGATAAGAGACCCTGAAAACAATGTTGTTTTTCTTGATGATATGCAGCCAGGAGATTTTTTTTTAATTAAAAAAAAAGTATCAAGTGCCCGGGACTGGGGCGGCCACAGCAGGTGTGGCCGGTGTGACACGCAGCCCTGGAGCAGGGCAGGATACAGATGTGGTCCTGGCTGCACGGCTTCACATGAAGTGGGGCGCGGAAGGCAGCGATAGCCCAGGGACCAGGCCTCCTCTGCCAGCTGCTCCCCAGAAAAGCCACCAGGCTGGGACAGAGGACCCGTGCGACTTTCTCCTAAAGGGAAACTGCAGGTGGGACCTAACCTCTGTCCCTAGACAGTCACACTTCATGATGGCCATTTGCTGGCGGATTTTCAGCCACCTTGACTTTAGTCAACATCTTAACAAGTGTTCCAGAACCTTTTTTGTTTCTTCCTTCCAAACCCTTGTTGGCTCCAGAAAGAGTGAGTTTAAAATGCAGGCTCTAGAGTCAAAGGAACCAAGAAATATAAAGGAAAAAAAAAAAAACCGTCACTGGTTTGTTTTCAATGTCTAATTAAAAGCCAAGTAACTCAAATTGCCACAAAGGGTTTAGAAGGTCAGGGAGCAGCTCCCACTCCCACGATGTCAACCCCAATAGTGCTCTTGGCGACCCACAGTGGCCACCTGAAGATCTCATTAAGGATTTCGAACCTAAACTACAAGTTCAGGGCCGAGGGGCTGTTTTGCACCGGAAGGAAGTCCAGCTCCTGCAGGCCTGGACATTCCTTAGAGGATTTCAGGCCTTTAATTACTCAGTTTCGGGAAATTACTTGTTCTGTGGAAGAAACAACAGCTTGCTGTGAAGCTCACTACACCAGAGAAGTGGTCTCAAGAGGGACCCAGCTAACCCAACAGCGCCAACCCGAGTCCCCCACATTTCTAGGTTCCAGAGGGGTTGCTCAGTGACTCTAACGGATTCAGACCGAGGTCTGCCCACGTCAGAGGCCTCTGTCCACAGCCTGGACTGAAATCCTCCCACTAAGCCACCCACGGTGGTAGGATGGGAGGAGAGGAGGAGGAGGAAAGCAAGGGTGAAAAGGACAGAAGGAAGAGGTGAAGGGAAGGAAGGAGGGAAGGAAGAAAAGAAGGTAGGTTGGTTGATTATAAGAAGGCTCATTCTATGTAAAAGCAGAACTTGCTACCATCTCAGCACCTACATTTATTTTGAAGGGATGCTGATGTCTGCTCTTTTCATCTCTGAACAATGAATAAGATGGTAGTTGATTAAATTGTGTTTCCCCTAAAATTTCAAAGTCTTTAGTTGTTTAATCTGGGCAGCTTCCATTACAATTCAGGAATGCTGAGGGGAAAAACAAAACCAAAAAACCCAGCCTCTCTAGGTCCAACAAGGTTCCTGGGTATTTGCTCTCTCCTAAGAACCGTTATTTTAAAAATGTGAACTGTTGGTCCCCAACAGCACTTCTTTATGAGTTTATCAAACACTGGCTTTTTATTGATGGCAGAAAATTCTGTGTCCTTTCTTCCCAGCATGCCCTGGTTTCTAGCAAAGCCCTTTACCTGCTCTATATAGCAGGAAAACATCAGCTTCTTTTGTGGTAATGGAGATTGAACCCAGGGCCTTTACACAGGGGTACATTCCCAGCCCATTTTTTTGCTTATTTATTTTTTTATTGTGAGGCAGGTTCTCAAACAAATAGCCAGACTGGGATGGAAGTTGTGACCCTCCTGCCTCAGCCTCTTAGAGTGCTGGGATCATAGTCATGCACCACCACATCTGCCAGCACCAGTTTGTTTGTTTGTTTGTTTGTTCTCCTGGTACCAGAGATCGAACTCGGGACCTTGTGCTTGCAAGGCAGGTGGCAGAACCACTGAGCCAATCCTGGGCCCAGCACCAGTTATTTTTATGGGTGTCTGATCTTCAGGTATGACCTGCCTCTATGCCCTGGCTCTTGCCTAATTCAAATCAAATAGCCAACAGTGAAATTTTTTAAGTCCTCATTTCAAAATACTTTCAAATGTACAGGAAAGTTATAAGATAGTAAAAAAAAAAAATTCTAACACCCCTTGCCTAATTACTCCAAATGTTGGCAATTTTCATCATTTGCTTCACCTTTCTTACAGTCTTTTGCTCTCATATTTATATAAAATACACACATTGCTCTTTAACTGATACGAATATATTATTAGAGACTTAATTTTTTTGCCTGTATACTTAACAAAAAGAAACCAGATGCTGTTATTTGATCTATTTCCTCAAGATTTTATCCATATGTCTCATTGTGCCTAATTCCAAAAATACATAAAAATGTAAAAAGTGATCTAACTGGATGCTAACGTGAGGATCGTGAGTTTAAACACTCTGTACAAAATCTGAATCTCCCTCATTGTTAAGGACATGGTGTTTGACTGGTTTTCATCAGCTTCAAAGAGAATAGTACTGATATCCAGAGTATAATCAAAGCTCCCAAGTCGGGCAATGTTGGACCACTTAGCACAAACATTTTTGTAAACTCTGATTGGCTACAGAAGGTATAGGGGGAGCCTATCAATTAGCATTTCGCAGCCTTGTTTCCCACGTGTCATCCTAGGAGGAGTTATCTGGAGACGGAGCACTCGCTGTACCTGCTGCCTGGCCCCCTGGAGATCACACTGTTAAGTGGCTTCAGCCCAGGTCCCCCAGGACTCCACAAACCATCCCCCCTCAGGGGAAGCTGCCCCCTGGGCACCAGGCAGGGCAGGCTGGGGCAGTGCAGCAGGTGGCCTTCACCTGAGGACCATTCTGGTGTGAGCCAGGCGGGGCAGGGTCCCTCTCACCCTTCCTGACAGGAAGTCCTGCGCTGGACCAGCACGGCCACCCAGGGCTGTGCCGGCAGCGCCATGAGCAAACTGCACCTTTCCGTTTTCTCATTAGCCATCACGGATTTATCGCCTAGGGATTCACCGAGCCCCCGCCTCAGTGTGTTTTGCTCCCAATCAAAAAAGAAGATAATGTAAAGTACAAAGACCATAAAGACACTGTAACCATCAAAGAAGCAGTATTGTTTATTTTTCTTAAAGCCATGTCTTCCTGTTTTCCTGGAGGTTTACAAGCTCTCATCCTTGCTCTTGTATTAACTTCTCTTTGGAATGCTGGGAAAGAACGCTTTGGAGGACAGCAGTGCAGACCTAAAACTGGTACAGCAAGAGGAATAAAGGCACACAGCTTAACTGGAGAGGCAAAACAAGTTTCACGACTTACTCGTCTTCGTATTAAGCACCCATATAATGAATCTGTCGTCATCAGCATAAACAGTGCAGGGGAACAATGTAGTAGATGGATATTGAATGACGGGCTATTGCTCTAGCTCACGGATTGGTTTTTAAAAATCACCTTTTGAAGGAGAATTCTACAAAAGACGTATTTTGTTACAAAGGGAAAGGCAAAAGAAAAACGTCAGCAGGCTATACCTTGCGATATTAATAGTAGAGAATCTCCTCCTTTTCTGACTTTCTCCCTTTTGTTTCCTCTGCATTTTCAAAACATTTATGAGAAGCAGAAATTACATTTCAACGTGAAAGCTGTGTAAATAACATGCAGCAGTCCATTCTCGTCAGCATCTGAGAAATGCAGGTGTGCACTGTACAATGCAGGAGCAGTCTGCCTGCTGCTGCCAGATGCTTTATGCCTGTATATCGAAAGCTATGGCAAGAAAAGAATTTCTCTTTTCTTAAAGTGATCTTTGTGAGAAGAGCTGTGACAGTCCTGAGTTTTGGGGTGCCCCTCTGTCCAGCGTTAATCCACTCAGTGCCTGGGAAGCTGCCATGGCAGGGCCCAGTAGCCTCCCCTCACCAGGCCATTCGGGAAGCCTGTGTCAGCCCCTCACATTCCCCATGTGTGAACCTCCAGAGAAGGATCCCCCCATGAAACAAACACAGGCTTTCAGGAGGCCGAACAACAGGACAGAAGTGCTATCTATTTTCCTTAAGATGACACACGGATCTTAAAATACATCATGTTAGGATTACTCATGGGGTTCCTGCAAGAAGGACTTGCCCAGGAACCGTGCCAGGGACGTGCCTGGGGCTGCAGATAAGAATCAGGCATCTGGAGCTGCCCCGCAGTGGAAAACTCCAGCCCACAGTGGAACTTTCCCATCTCCGTCAGTGGGAGGACCCGAGGAGGGGCACTGCTGTGACGGGGATCACACGTTCAGCCCTCCAGGTCACTCGTCCCAGGGCAGAAGGAGCGCTTTTTGGGGGCTCCGTGCACTTCTCGGGGGCAGTACCCGGGGGCAGTCTCACTGCCCCAGGAAGAGGTCCTGACTGTGTGTGACGGTTCACCCTGTCCTCGGCAGCACCTTGAGCAACGGTCAGATTACAATTAATAGCCACTGTTTCGACACTGTCTGCGCGGCTGATCCAGTCCTCTGCCTCTGGTTGCTCTGAACCAACCTAACCCAAGGAAATTGTTATCACACAGCAGATCCTCAACTTCTCCACATCAAGGTGCAGTTGCAAGCACACGTCGGTTCTATAGGCGCGAATGAAGCAATGATTTCAATAAACACCGTTTCATAAGCACCCCACAGACTCTCAGGTTTATGTTCACTTTGCTCTTCCTCAACCCATCTGGCTCTAAAAATGCAGGAATATTAAAACCACAATCCAGGGCCCTAACTATGTCAATGTATTATTCATGGCTTAAAAAAAAAAACACCTAAGCAGAGAGTCATTATTTTGACACACTAGTTTGGCTTAAAGGAACTTTTAAGTTTCCCAATTCAATCATCCTGCTGCTATATACAATTTGCGAACAGTGAGATGCATTTCAAAGCTGTTATCCACAGAGCTTGGTGGATCCAAACCCAGGCTGCAGCCTTGCACGGCCCCTCTCACTCAGGCTTGGCCTGGTGACACCGGCAGTGACTTGAGAGTGCACAGGGCAGCTGGACATCCGGCTGCCCCTTCCCCCGCCCAGGTCCTGTCCTGGCCCTCCGGTGAAGCCACCCTGAAAGTTTCTCTTGGGCTGCGGAGACCAACTTTGCTGTTGATCACTGGTCAGAACTTAAGATGATTTTTAAACAGCCCATCCATCTCCCTTCTCCAGTACTGAAAATCATCTTTGAAAAAAAATCTTTGTTTGGGCCTGTCATTACTTTATCAATTATTTTAGCAAGGCAGATTACTTCTTAAAGACAGTAAATGACACTGTAATGTTATTCAATCGATGGAAAATTACAGAGGAGTCTGTACTGAACACAAAGGCTCCTGCTATTCTCTTAAACCGCGCCGGCCTCTATCTATTCCACCGGCCCCCAATTCAATGATTGACTTACTGATCTACTTATAATACAAATGCATTCTGCAGTGCAGCCAAGGCAGAAAGTATCCATCATTCACTCATTTAGACTTTCGAGGAGTTCCCTGCAGACCTCACTAATCCTGCACCCGGGTTTGAAGCCTGGAGTCTGTGTCACTGCGGCTGTTTCCCCGCACCCTCTCAGCACCTGGTCCTCAGCAGATCTAACCGGCTCTGCTGTACCCCGTCTACCGCCTCGGCCACAGGCAGGTGCGAGATTGGAGAGAGCAGCTGAAATCCGGCAGGCGGGTTCTTTCTCAATCCGCCCACACGAAAATGTGTTCAATTTTTCTTCCCTAAACGCGCTGCACTGGAGTGGTTATGACGTCACGTGATCGGTCATCCATCCCAGCGCACAAAGGCAGAGGGGCGACTGAAAATGCTATTTCTGGGTGTGGGGGCAACGACGAGCCAGCAGAGAGCATGGTTCCCCACTGGGCCGCTGTCTGTCTGGTGGAGCCTACTCTGCCCTTTAGTTATAGCTACAAAAGCGATCGGGCTGCGAGAACTTTAGGAAGTAACCACCTACTGCCCAAAGAACTACCCTGCTTTGTTTGACAGCCATGACGGAGAGGTGAGCCTTAGGGTGATGTCTCTCTGAACCGCTCACATCGTTGACAGCAGAGGGCGCCAGGTTCCCTCTAAAGGCCCTGGGAGAGAAGCCCCAGAGGGCTGGCTGATTCGTCACTAAATTCCTGGAATTGGTGTTATTATCCTACAAAGCTACCTCATTTTTATCCATTAAAATTAAATCCAACACTCGTAATGGAGGGAAAATTTTTTTGAAATTTTTTAATTGATCATTATTACAGAATATAAAGAAATGCGTGTATTTTCAAAGGGGCAAAGGTAAATTACAAAGCTCTGCGCACTGGACTAAAGGCACGGCACAGCGGGAGGTACCAAAACATGGACACAGTGTAGCTGCTCTACACCGCTGTTACAATTCTGGGCCTTAAAATTATTCCACTTCACAGTAATTCAAGATGCAGCCCTGTACAAGGGGTGAGCAAAAATATATGAATACTTGAATAAAAATGCAATGCAGTAAGACACATTGCTACTAATCTCCCTCCCATTCACACAGAATACACTCATCCCATCCTTCTTGTCACTCTGCAAAGCAGCTCTGGAAGTCTTTCCTGTCTTTAACAGGTGTGATCAAAAATTCAGTGACTGCTGCCACCGAGTGACATCCCACGGAAAGGCAGCTTGAAGAAACATCAGTGGGGCCTCTTCCACCTTGTTCAGTGGACCTGCAACTTTTGGATCTTCCCCAAAGACTAAATATTTGAATCAATTCAGGGCATCAAGGCAGCCAGACAACACAAATTAAAGATGCTCCCAAGGCAGGACTGCCAGAACTTCAGAAAGAGGCAGGGTTGATGGGGCCTCTTCATAGTGGGATCCCTGGCAAAGTTACTGTAATGCACTTTTAAAACACTCGTCCTCGTTTTTCAACTACATTGCGTGTTTCCCCAGTGCAAGCTGCATTCCATGATAGCAGCTTAGAGTGCGTTTGTTCTGTGAGGCACACGATGCAGACGCTAGGAGTTCCTGTGGAGCTGGGACCTGGGGAAGAACTTGGATCACACTGCGGTGCATCCAGTGGGAAAGTCACCCTGCAGAGCTCAGCAACACTGCACAAGCTGGGGCTGCCTGGGGCATGCGGGGCTGATGTCCCTTCCAGCAAGTGGGGCCCGAGGGGATGGCTGGGAGGCCCCTAGGTCTTTCCCAGGAAGGACACCAGTGCGGCTTTCTGATCCCATAAGCCTGGCTGCGAGCGATCAGGCTGCACCCTGCTGCATCCTCTCTGCTCAGTGACACCAAGGAGATGTTTAGTCTATTGGTGCCGATTTCCCACTGCCCTCCTTGGCAGGTAGGTGGGAGGGGAGCCCGCACATGAGGAGAGGCCCCTCTGTGCCCCTCCCAGACGGACAGCAGCAAGGCCCCCGGAGCCCTGGCAGTCAACCTGAGGGCTGGCGCCCAGCACTGCTGAATGAATGGATAAAGAATGAACGAAGCACACCGCAGCGCCCAGAGTGCTATCAGGGACAAACCCTCAAGCACCCAGAGTTTAACCTGAACATGGGATCAATCGGGGCAAGTGCAGACTCTGGGCAGCAAGCACGGCTACACCAGCACAAGCAAGAGCTGCTCACCTGAGGGGTGGCCACACCACCACCTCTTCTCTCAGTGCTGAAAGGAACACGCCCAGCTGCCCCGCTGCCTGCTGAGACACAGGGTGACAAGTGGCAGGAAGGTGGGAGCCTCCCACCCCCCCCCACAGGCACAGCGATGAACAGATGAGACAGAGGGAAGCCACCCGCGCAGCCCACCCTACACCCAGGTCCTCTCCTGTGTGTCCAGCAGCAGCCTGGTCCCTCGGGAGGGGCCTTTCTGTGGAATCCGACCCCCCACCTCAGTCAAATAGACGTGAGGGATGGAAGAAGTGTCTCTCGAAGGGTGCCCAACTTTATATTCTGGATTTCTATCTCAGTAAGTGTCCCAGCCACACCTGGACACAAGTAGTCAATTTTTTAAAATACCAAATAAATGAGCACCTGTCTTCTATTTTACCTGTTCTGTGTTACGTTTATAGCAGATTCATTGGGATCTTGCTATAGATACACAGTTCCCAGCCAAGCATGGTGGTACACACCTATCATCTTAGTATTCTGGGAAGCTGAGGCAAGAGGATCTCAGGTTCGAGCCCAGGCCTGCACGAGTGACTTAGGGAAGCTCTGTGCCAAAATAAAAACTAAAAAGGACTGGAGATGTAGCTCAATGCTAAGGCCCTGGGTTCAATCCCCAGTACAACAAACAAACAAACAAACAAATTCCCATTTGCATAAAACTTAGCACTTCCCTTTCCCAAAGGAACCCTGCCTATTTGCAGCTAATCTCTCAGCAGCGTGCTGGTTAGAAGTCATGAGAACGGCCCATGCACTGCACCTCCACACTGGCTGTATCACCATGGCGACTGAGTCTCCCAAGTTCCAACCCAACTCTCCATCACGCAAGCCCTCCTGCAAAGTGGCTCTGACACTGCTCCTTCCAAAGGTGAAGGCCAGGTGCTCAATGGCCCACCTGGGAGGGCCTCTCTGGTCTCAGCAGGGTAGCTCCATGCCTTCCAAGGCCACCTCCACCTGGATGTTTTGGTATCCACTAAACTTAACCCTCAGCGGCTACGCAGGGGAGCCATGGGGAGCATCACATGGTCCCCAGCCCAGCCCACAGAGCTGCAAAGGAGGGGAACTTCCAGGGGACTCCAGCCCCCAGAGTCAACTTGCCTGTACACATGCATGAGACCCTCCACAAGAAACACTTACCTATCTATTCTTTACGGCTGAGTACTATTCCATCCTGTACACATAACAGTCCTTTCTATCGGCTTATCTGTTGATGGGCATCTAGAGTCAGTTCCAGAGCTCAGCTATTCCGAACTAAGCTACCACAAGCATGGGCGTGCATGTGTCACTGTAACAGGACGTCTTTAACTCCTCAGGGGAGACACCCAGGAGAGGTACAGCGGGTCAGACGGAATTTCTACTTTTATTTTTCTAAGGAATTCCCATACTGAAGTCCGTCAGGGCTGTGCTAGTTTACATTCCCAACAAAAGTGTAGAAGGGTTCCTGTCTCCCCGCCACCTCACCAGTTATTTGTTGTTTTTGTGCTCTTGATGACAGCCCTCTGACTAGGTTTAAGATGTAGTCTCAGAGTCATTCCCTGTGCATTTCTCTAATGGCCAAGGTTGGTGAATATTTTTTCGTGTACTTATTGGCCACTATGTATGAATTTGAGACCTTAATGTTAAGTGAAGTCAGACACCGAAAGTTGAACAGCACGCGGTTTCTTTTATATAAGAAGCCAAAAAGAGGTACAATAAAGGAGATGGTAGGAAACCAAGCGGCGGACTTTTGGACATGGGCAGTCCTCGTCAGTGCTGCTGACGGCACTCAGTCCCCTAGGCTCAATCCCACCATCCCTCCCAGATCACCTTCCCTGCGAGCAGGGGTGGAGAAGCCAGCCCACCCTGGGCTCCACTGCAGTGGGGTTGGAAATGTGTAGCATAGGGAGAAGACCGGGACTCATCGCCCTGAGTTGCTGCAAACAAAGGCGCACGCGCAGTGGGGAAGATGGCAGCGTTCTCCGAGCCACAGCTCCTGGATGTCCCGGGCTCCCAGGATGCTGTGGGGCTCCCATGGGTCAACGCTGACTACGTGTGACGGAGCCACCCGGAAGAATCCAGAGTGCACCCTTCTAACCACGTGACAGCGTCGCGGAGGGCAAAGGTCACCTGCACCAGTGAGCACATTGGCCGCCCGTTGTGGCAAAACACAAGTCTCAGCTGCCCTTCTCCAAGGGAGCAGAAGCAACTGAGGAGTCCTATATAGAATTCTTCCCAAACACCTAGAATCATTTTGAAGGGTGGTAGGTTATATTATTTTTCTTTCTTTCATTTTTTAAAGTGGCATTTCTTATTATGATGCTCAGGTGGGCCTCCAGGGGCTCAAGAAATCTTCCTGCCTCAGTCTCCCAAATAGTTGGGGCTACAAGCTCATGCAGCTAATCTTGGCTCATTTTTAATCACAGACTCAATTCTTTTAGACAAAGCATTACTGCTCTGGTCCCACATTGCTGGGGCACCCAATTCTCACCTCCCAGACGGAGCTAGGACTTGAGCTGTTTAATTCTGTACGACTTAAAGCTGTTCTGAGCTTTTCATCAGGAACGGAAAGCATTAATGCGTCCCACACGCCACTCTCTGTTTTATGGAATTCTTGCACTGGGGAGCTCTTTTTATTTTATTATTTTCTTTAATAGCCAGAAAACTGGGAAGTTCACAAAGAAATTTTTCAACTGCCTTCAGTGACCCTTAACCTAAAAGGTTTTGCCTAATCTGTAAACTGGAGTTAAAAGTGTTTCGTACCTTTGGAGTGGGGAGCTCTTTGTCCTTAAAGGAGCAGGGAGACCACTAACAATGGGGCTAAACAGGCTTTCTGCCCCTTTGTCAGTTGATGCAAACCAAAAACAGATGTGCAACATCAGCCGCTACCTTCTCGTGACCCGGGGAAGTGGAGGCTAATCCAGATCATTCTTAATAACTCAAAACTGCCACCTCTTAACCACCTAATTTTTTTCTCACTTACAAATGCAAAGAAAAGAATTGACATTGCACACCAAAATTCATTTCCCTCCAACCACATACAGATTTTCTCTGATAAGAGCCAGGAATAAGAGCTCTTTCCTCTAAATTGTATAGCTCTCGTCTGAGTAGTATGCC